GTAAAAGTTCAAGCAAGGCTAGAGCGGTATCCAGATCGACGCGTTGACTTCAGTGAGTTTTTTAAAAATTCAAATTCGTGTTTTTAAATTGTTTTTCGTCTTATATTGATATATCGACGTCGCCTCAAATCAAAATTTTGACATATCTGAACTTTGACAGTATTTTTCTCTCAGGTTTGCTTGGTCACGGAATGGCTCAGCAGGATCTGGTACAACCGACAAATACCACAGTCATTACTGGTATAGCCCTTGAAGCTACCGGCACCGATCGGGTTCATATCGTCACAAGAAAAGATACCAGACGGTTTCGGTACAGGACCAGCATTATTGTTGGAAATATCATGCGGTATTTTGACACCATGAGGATTCAGAGATTCAAGGGTAAGCAGAGAAAATCTTCAAAATTGCCAGTGATTAAGAAATTAATTTTTTAGGAGTGCTAATTTACGTAAACAACGTAGAAAGAGGACAGCCTGAGATTTATGTCGTGCTAGAAGAAGCCCAAATTGGTATCCGTGTTAGGGAATCGTACGCCGTCGATGTTGATCGCTATTTAAATTACCAAGAAAGCATGGGTTTGCTAAACGTTGCCATCAGTGTACCGCCCCAATATGGAGTGGTAAGCCATTTCTACATTCCAAAATAAGTCAGAAAGGTCATGAATTGCTTTTTTTAGCGCCCAGACGGAGACAAAACCAAGGAGGTTGAAATGCGACAGAGATATAACCTACCAAGGGTAGCTGGGTTAATGAGGCCGTTCCCAGATCAGGCATCTGCCAGCTTTATGCAGTCATTAACTTTGAACGATGTGAATTCTGAAGGTTATAGGCAGCAGATCATCAATATGTGTAAGGACCCAACTACCCATTTCTTGCTACTTTTGGTAAATCTGATATTTTAGACCGAGTCCAAGGCTCGGGTGAGCCAGGATCAGATCAATCACTATCGTCCGCTAACCAGGCTGGTATGCCTACTGAGAATATGTTTACCACCAGTAAAGATGAGGACAAGAAGTTTGAGGTTGCAGAATTTTTTGTTCATAATTTTTGGGTCAGTGGGATTGAATTGTTTAGGTCTTCCCTGAAGCTTCCATGAAGAGTGGTCCAATCTACAAGGTGGCACCAAAATATGAAGCGTAAGTTTTTACCTGAAGAGATGAAATATCGATGAAAAAATGCCCTACCTTCAATTTCACCATGTTATAATATTTTTTGGTGTTAGCTAACTGGTTGTTATTACGCTTTTCATATCTGGATGCAGATCATACCGTTTATTGAAACCTTGTTTTCTAGTGGACGTTACCGATTCTACCCAATCACTGGACAAGCCTTAAATCAGAGACTGCAGACTTGTCGTGATCTCCAGCAACAAAACATAAGTAAGTTTTTAAATTTTTTACGCAAGGGTACCTTTCTTTATCAGAAGACGTAGACTATCTAATTTCTTCTTAATCAGGGTTATTATTTGATTTAATCAATTTCAGTCAACGTCCAACCCATGCAGTCCCAGCT